TAACAAGAATTCTTAGGACTGGACCAATAGACAACATCATGATAGATAAAGAAAAGATTGAAACTGTCAACAACTTCATCTTTCTTTGATCCACAATCAATACTCAGCAGTCAGGAGATGAGGAAACGTATTACACAGGAAAAGTCTGCAGTCAGGGACATCTCCACATTACTGAGAAGTGGTGATGTCAGTGTGAGGACTAAGGTGCATCTGATTTAGGCTATGGTATTTCCAATCACTTGTTATACACCTGAAAGCTAGAGAATAAGGATAATGAAGAGTAGATGCCTTTGAGCTATAGTGTTGTTGAAGAACACTGGACATTGCATGGATTGCCAAAAGAACAAATACGTCTCAGAGAAAATGCAGCCAGAGTGCTCTTAAAAGCCAAAGATGGTGAGGTTTCACTGCACATACTTCGGGCATGTTGCTAAGAGGGGATTTTCCTTGGAGAAGGACATGATGCTTGGAACAACTGAGGGTCATCAAAGGCAAGGAGGACCCTCAATCGTGTGGACTGACACAGTGACTGCCACAGTGGACTCTAATATGTCAGGAAGTGCGAGAGATATGACAGGTTTCAGATCTATTGTTCATAGGATCACTATGGGTCGTACTCTACTTGACAGCACCTAATAACAACCACAGCATCAAACTAGGAGCAAGCATGTTCCTTTTACTGAAGAGCGTCTATTCAGCTTGGAAACTTAGAGTATCTATATCCACAAACAAAGTCCAGTCCAGAGCAAGCCATCTGTTGCAGCAATCAGCCCTAGCTTTACTGTGTGGATCACCCTTGTTTGGGTTTTGGTGGTGGTGGTTTTTTTTTAAACAGCACAGTGTATTCTGCTTTACTCTAGCTAAAATTCTCTGAGCTTTGATTTGTAAAGCTATAATATGAATACAAAAGCTCTGTACAAAGCCTCTTGGGATCTCCTGCCCTGAGTGAAGGTTACTGTTTAGAAAGGGAAAAAAAGAGAGGGTATTCTTTTTTTTTTTTTTATTGTATCATTTTTACTTGTACAGTCAAATCAGATCTGACAGGTACAGGAGGAAATTGCCCCCTCCTTTTCCAGCAGAGCATCTGGTGGATTTGAACCGCTTACCTCTGGGATTGCAGTGCAGCGTCTTGCCACTAGGCCACCAGAGCTCCCTACGGGTATTCTTAAGGATAATAAAAACCTCTATGTTCCTCAGGGGCATGAAGTACAGGCAGATCACACCCCTTAGCCATAGAAAAGAAGGTTAACACTGTAGCACTAAATGTCTGAACACTGTAAATAGGAACACAGCTAAGAAAGTGAAGTGATTGTTTCAGTAAGTTTCTCCAGCAGAAGGAGCCTTATAACTCGGGACACAACGAAATACAGATTAACAGACTGTACCTACAGACTGTAACCTGCTGTGTGACAGAAACAAGGTAGTCTTGGAGAAGGATCTTGCTGCCTCCCAGACCTGTTAATAAAACATAATAACTAAAAGCAATTTTGCCTCATCACTAACTGTGACTATGGAAAGGACCTTTTGTCCACTAACACTCCTATTAAGTTTATACCCTCAAAAATCCCCATGATTTGTTTTTTGTTTTGTTTTTTTTTAATAAAAGTTTATAAAGAACTTGGATTTCTATTCATTCATTGTTGCACAATTTGTAAAGCTATAATAAAAGTACAAAAGCTCTGTACAAAGCCTCTTGGGATCTCCTGCCCTGAGTAAAGGTTTCCTTCCTGTCCCCCCTTCTTCCCAGTTTGTTTGTTTGGTTTGGTTTTTTTTTAAATTTTTATTGTTATACTGTTGTTTCCACCCCCGACTCACACCCCGACCACCTTACTATGCAACTCTTATTCTGGACTCTTGTCATGCCAATAATACCTAATCGTATGTTCCTTTTATACAGTTCTCTCCCTTTTCTGTTTCAATGCTGTGTACATTATTTATCACCTCTTTTTTCATTTCCCCTGAATCCCCATATTAGTCCTGTTCTATAACAGTGGCATTATGCAGTATTTGTCTTTTTGTGACTTAGATATTTCACTCAACATAAGCTCCTCCATGGCCACCCATTTTGTATAATATTTCATGAGTTCTTTGTTTTTCAGTGCTGCATAATATTCCATTGTGTGAATATACCACAGCTTCTCTATCCATTCATTTGTTAATGGACACATGGGCTGTTTTCAACTCTTTGCTATTGTGAAGCAGCAATTAACATGGGTGTGCATATATCTGC